GCTCCTGGGTTTCTCCTGCCTCAGAGTACATTCCTTTGAAAACCTCAACCAAGAGCTTTAATAATTTAAATACTATCTTACTCTTCTTACTCTTTTTTTTGATCTCAAGTATCAAAATCAGTAATAAAGGGCTGAATGCATTATGGACACATGGGCCTGCTTGACCTTAAACTTTGATATTTAACATTTCTTATGTGCACAATATGTGAGGAGGATTCCTTTTCCCTGGTAAAGCTTTTAAAACAGCTGAATGAGAGGAGAGGCAGAGGAAAGGGATGGTGTATCTGGCTCAGGTCATTAGCTGCTCTCTACTCCACCTCAATCAGAGCTCAAAAAAAAATCAACTTTACAGGCAGCTCCTGCAGGAGCACTGGGAATAAGCAATATGCCCAGGTACCAGTAGGCCCTGGATGTCCAGCTGGAAGAGCACTGCCCTTCAGAGAGGGAGAAAAAGCTGAGATGTACACTTCATTACTGGGGCTGTGTGGTTTTCTGATGACCGCAGAGGACCCCCAAGAGAAATATGTTAAAGCTGAATTATCTCACTTCCCTAATAAATTGGGCCAGTAGAGATTCCCAAGCCACAACTCCAAATGTTAACTGTCCAAAAATCTGGGGAAAGTTTATCCCTGGATTGAAAGACTTGGGGAGACAGGTTTTCCCAGCCCACAGCACTGATGTGAATCAAAAATATTGACTGTCATTTGTATGTCAGCCTGGAGACTCAGCTCTAACTCCAGCAAACCACAACAGTTTCTAAATTGTTTGTTACAACTCAGCTCCGGTTCTGGGAAAGAAAATATGCTCTTATAATCTATCTATCTATCTATCTATCTATCTATCTATCTATCTATCTATCAATCATGTATCTATCTATCTATCTATCTATCTGATTTTTTCTATGCCTATACCAGCTGATTAGTGCAGCTGGTAATAGGGCAGCTGATAGGATAGCTGATTAGTACACTTTAGAAATGTGGGCTCAAATGAAAAAAAGTAATCATTTTCATACATATAGGAATAATGTATGCCTTCTCCTAGGAGCACTCTAGGCGTTAGTACACGTATGCTATGCTGCTACATTTTCAGAACAGTCCTGGTCATATTTATCTTCCAAACTTCTCCCTGGGATTACTAGGGAATACTGTTCACTGATCATTTGCAGATGCCTTGCACATATTTCTGCTCTAAATATTAAAATAGTTAATAGTATGGACAGGCTGTTCCATGCCAGTGGACCTCATTGCCACAGTGTGGTCTTATGTGTCTTTATTTTATTTGTATTTCATTGAAGGAAGCTTGCTAGTTAAGCTGTTCAGGAGGCAGCCATGTTAATAGAGGTTTGGAAGGAATCAAAGCTCTTGGTCTCTGATGCATATGAGGTTTTGTGGTCACAGCTCATATTGTCCAGGACTGTAGCTGAATGAGGAACATCTTTGTGTCCAGCTTTTGAAGCTTTTACAAAAGTGCAGATGAAAATGAATAAATATCTGTTGGATCCTCTGTGGCATTTCTTTTCCTTATGACTCATTCTGTTTTTCACACACAACGCAATGCCTGGCAGGCTGACATGGAATTACAGGATGTAATTGTATTTTCTCCCTGTGCTATTTGTGATGGATCTAAAGGAAGGATCATTAAATAGAGGAGGAGCAGCACTATGCTGGCTTTGATAGAAACAAGAAAAAATATATTTGTAAAAGTGGGGAAGAATGAGAATGCTTTCAGTGCTGGGAATGTGAATACACATATCTAATCCAAGAGCAGGGGAGAGAAGGTTACTCAGAGCCCTGATACAGCTGGTTGTTCTTCCACACTGAAACACTGAAGATTTCAGTCCGGAGCCAATTTCAAAACACCTGGATTAGTTTGAATTTCACTTGGATCCATTCTAGCAACCTTAACATATAGCCTGGGGAGGCTTAGGAGTCTTTGTCATTTAAAGTCTTCACCACAGTTTATACAAAATGCTTGCTCAGGACTGACCTAGGTGTAACAGAGTCTGCCTTGGGGCAACAACTGGACAGCCGAGCATTTTAGGTCTCTTTCAGCCCTGTTTTTCTAAGTTTCTATGAATATAACAACCAGGTAAGAACATGAAAAGAATGAGGCCCTGACTAAAGTATGAAGAGAAACTCTCTTCTATGTTCATTCCAGAATCCAGTCAGAGTCTAATACATAGTCTAATGATAGGCACTTAGGAGAAATTTCACGATTGATTGCCCTTGTTCTTGTGGGAGACTTTAACTTCCCAGACATCTGCTGGAAATACAACACAGCAGAGCAGGACCAGTCCCGGAGATTCCTGGAATGTGTGGTAGATAACTTCCTGACACAGCTGGTGAGTGAACTGACCAGAGAAGATGCCCTACTGGATCTCCCCTTTGTGAACAGAGAAGGGCTGGTGGATGATGTCGTGACCTGCTTATTGGATGAAAGAAAGGCTGTGGATGTTGTCTGCCTTGAATTTAGTAAAGCCTTTGACACCGTTTCCCACAGAATTCTCCTGGTAAAACTGGCTGCTCATGTCTTGGATGGAAATACACTTTGCTGGGTGAAAAACTGGCTGGGTGGCCGGGCCCAAAGAGTTGTGGTTAATGGACTTCAGTTGGTTGCCAGTCACGTGGAGGCTGACTAGGGCACAACGATCATGGAATAATAGAGTTCTCTATTCTTAGAGAGGCCAGGAGACAGGGCGTCAGAATTGCCATCCTGGACTTCCAAAGGGCTGACTATAAGTTGTTTAGGCACCTGCTTGACAGGATCCCTTGAGAGATGGTCCTTAAGGGTATAGGGGTCCAGGAAGGCTGGGCACTCTTTGAGAAGGAAGTGTTAATGGCTCAGGATCACACTGTCCCCAGGTGCTGTAAGAGAAACCGGTGGCAGAGAAGACCACCCTGGCTGAACAGGGAACTTTGGCTGCAACTCAGGGAGAAAAGGAGAGTTTACAGCTTTTGGAAGAAGGGGTAAGTGACTCACAGTGATTACAAAGATGCTGTGAGGCTATGCAGGGTGGAAATCAGGTGGTCTAAATCCCAGTTTGAAATTATAATAAGAGATAGTTAGTAATAAGTGATAGGATAAGAGGTTGCACCAGGGAAGGTTTAGACTGGATATTAGGAAGCATTTATTTACAGAAGGGGTTGTTGGGCGTTGGAATGGGCTGCCCAGGGAGGTGGTGGAGTCCCCATCCCTGGAGGTGTTTAAGAGTTGGGTCAACATAGCGCTGAGGGATATGGTGTAGTTGGGAACTGTCAGTGTTAGGTTAATGGTTGGACTGGTCTTTTCCAACCTAGAGGATTCTGTGATTCTTTAATGGATTTGTATATACATCATATGATATATAAATAGCAAAGCATTTTTAGAACATGTTGACATTTTTTGTTATCAGCAAAGTCAGGGAGATTTGAATTGCTGGAAGACAAACACTTTAGTTTTGTTTTTTTTTTTTTTTTTTTTTTTTTTTTCTGTTCTCCCCTCAGTTCTCTAAAAAGAGCTTACATGTGGAAAAGTAAGATAAACACATAAATTTTAACGGCATAGTAAAGATAGCTATTCACAAAGGTTCAAAAACTAGTAATTTATTTGCACCCTCCTTTTTCTTGCTTGTTTTATAAATGGACATACCTTGCCTCTATTAGATTACCCTCTCCTAGAAAGTGCCTTTAAACATTAATTACCTGAGAAATTCAGGTCAGGTGCCTAGCATCTACGTTACAAGACAGTTTGAACTGAAAACATCTTCATCTGGTTTTGCCAGTTAAAGGATGTGGGATAGAGATTGCAATGAGGTTCACAAAGAGAGACTGTAATATTAAGGAGTTAGAAAAGTTTCTGAACACAATTGCAGAGTGTCCGTGTTGTGAAAGTTACAATTGCTTTTGGCAAAGCTCTATTGGAATAGAATTTAAATCTTTAAAAGCCAAGTAAACAGGCAACAAAGTCAACAGTCACATTATGATTAAATCATTTGAAAGCATGCATATGTCTGTCTTCTTATCTGTCTGTGTGTGTAAACATTCTGTATTAAGAATTATAAGCATTAGAATTCAGGAGGGTGATTAAAGGTGTTTGAGGATAAAGACAGTAAATAAAAAATTATGAGTATCTCATTCAGTTGAAACAGTAGTATCAGTGACAAGTTTTGTCCTTGCAGGAAGAAAATAGCATTTCAAAGGAGATTAAGACTTTTAAAATAATGTTCACTCATTGCCCTACAGTAACAAAAATGAAAACAATGTGAAATGATTTGGTGGAACTAGTAGGACAAAGTAATCATACTGAGGTCAGCAATTCCAGTGTATGTCCATGAAAGCCTCTGGAAAGACAGACCTCTCTGAAGTCTGACTCCTAGAAAGACATATATTAGTGACAAACTTGGGAAAATCTGTCATGGAAAACTTATAGCCTCTGACTGACGTCTGAACTGTATGTATATGGTCCTTGCTGCCCTTTATATCCACCATAATGACATACTTATCCTCCTGTGGAATCAAAAACATGAAAGCATAGGATGAAAGGCACTGATGTGATATATACTTACTTTGCTGACTCAAGTTAATTTAAAAATATTAATAAGCTAAACATATTGTCAGGCTGCCTGCCAGATCAAGTATTATCTGTCTGCATATCTCTAACACTATGCCAGATCAGGCTCTTTCTCCTCTTTTCTAATTGGCATAAACCCAGCGTAAAAGCGCATAGCCAGCACAAATCCTATACAGAGAGGACATTTGCCCATGCACGATCACAACCAAAGGTGCGTTGTTGTGTGGGGTAGGTCCAGTTCTAACACTTTAACAAATGCCATCTGGAAGTCTCCACAGCCATTAACACTGGAAGGACTCCAACAGAGGCCCGGCAGCCAGGAAAGCCCCAAAGAGCCTGTGAAAATAGACTTCTACTGCCATGGTGGCATCCTTGTTACTCCACTTTTGAGATCCTTTGTGTCATGACAAGCCAGGGACTTCTGTAATTAAAACTGTGTATCTCGTGAGCACAAACCTAAGTTATCTTCAAACCACCCAGCTTGGATACCAAGAGCGAATTAGCCAGACTTCTGTCCACATGGGTGTATGTCGCAGGCCCATAATATAGCTCTGTAGTCTGAAGCTGCACGATTATTTATAACTCAGTGAGCTGGCGGAAAGAGAACTTGGTATGCTTACATGAGCGGCAAGTCATCCCCCTGGATTTCAGTGACGTAGTCAATCAAGCATAACAGAGTTGCATGACTTAATAAGGTGAGTGTAAGAGAAACAAGGTGAAAGCCCCAGAAGGCTATGAGTCTTATTTTTATATGATTTGAAGCCCATTTTTCAAGGTAGTGGAATCTATCAAAAGTAACATATGTTTGGGGGAAAACTGTAAATGCTGACCTCCTACAATGTAAGATGCTAAAAGTCATAAACCACAGAGCATTTAAGTCACAGAAATGGTGCTTGTGTTAACAAATGAAATGTTATTATATATTAATGTAAATAGAGCTATAAAAAGTAGTTAATACTGCTAAGATTTAGTTCCACCATACTGAATAGCCCCATATTTAGATTTATTTTATGAGTTATATTGATTACCATGCTGACGATACAAACATCTTATATAACATTTCAATATTATAATAATTTTTATACAATTGTTCAACACTAGCTAGAAAAGAAGGTTTATCTCCAGAAACAACCCAGGCTTCTGGCTTGTTTCTCCTTTCCTTGTTTCATTACATTGATATTGCCAGTTAGATTCAGTGGTAAACATAGCTTATGCATTCCAAGCCAGAATTGTTTTGAATCATGACAACAAGAGTTGTCATTGGTTAATGTAGTAGGAGATGGGTAACTTGAATTATGAGTAACAAAAATTCTAAAATAGTCTTAGAAAGATTTTTCTTAATGTGTTTCCCTATAAGGCAACAAGAGGTAAATTTCCTCTATTTGACTTATCTGTTAAAACAAAAGTGACCATGTACCTTTGAAGACATTCGGTTGGAACTGAAAACTCAAAAGTTTAGAAGAAAGTTTAACCAGTGTGTACCTGCACTGGAATAAATATTGCCCTCTGGGGCTATTACAGAAACACAGCATTGCTGGGGGGAGAATTATTCAAGTTACAATGTTCTTTATTCACCACTCCTGTGAAAACAAAGTGAGAAAGTGGGTTCCTTTTAAAATTAAAAGACCGGACTAAAATGTCAATGGAAGGTTATACAGGAATAACAAGGAAACTCCATTTTAACAAGGCATCAAATATGAAATTAGAATACTGTAGCACTAAGTAATTCAAGTACCTAATACTGTTAACAATTTAATATATTCAGCGCTGTATGACTGGCTTTTCTTTGCTGTATGGCATGGCTGAGAATACAACATCAGCATTAAGCAAATAATGGCAGTGTTGCTATGGGTTTCAGTGAGAGCAGGCCTTAGTTTAACGCGTTAAAACATCATCCAAGTAATTTTCTCCTTGCCATCTTCAATTTGGTGTAATACATTACCATAATAAAGGGAGCTGGGAGCAGCAAGACTTGATTAAGTGTCAAAATGCTCTCAGAAACTCAAAAAATCGAGAGTTTTGATGTCCATTCTTTGGTTCTCAAAGCAGACAATGGTCTTAAAGAACAAACAGAAAATGGGCAAGGAGCAAGTTGGAACAATCATATTTAAAAATAAAAATACACAATGTGGTCCTTGAATTCTTCCCGTAAGCAACACAGGACTGGGAGGGATTTAAATAAATCCCTTCGTACTGTTGAGTCTTTGGTCAGGACTGTCAGAAGTGACTAGAGGCTAGGTGTCCAGTTCCTGCTTATTCCAGTATGCATTAAGCTGGTAGCTGAGTACAAGAGTTGAGGCCTTCACAAGTTTATGCCTCTGCTTATCAACACTAAAAATAATATTTTTCACTAAAGTGTTCAGACTTTTTTTGAAAGCTAAAATAATGATTCTTAATAACATTTTTGTGAATTACCTTTTTATTTTATTTCTATTTTGCCTATGAAAAATAGTTATAGAGCAACAATGACTTGCTTAAAGTTACATTCATTACTGTTTTTTGACCACTGCATCTCCTGAGGAATACTAATATCCCCTATCTGCAGGCAGCACTGGAAGGATAAATTAATTAATATTTGCAAAGAGCTTTGGAATCCTGAGCTGAAAGGTGCTAGATAAGTGTAAAGAATTATAATTTAAATTATGCATCAGTATTGTGAATGCTGCTTTTTCAGATGTGTCTGCTACAAAGATCACTTCAGCAGTGCAGACATCTAAAACATGGATGATGCAAGACTGTTTAAGAATTGATTAGTACACCTTTGGGGGTATAAGAATGGCAGTCTACAGCAGTGTAGGAGACAACAGCTCCTATATCATGAAGAAAATGACATTTCAATACCATAAGAAGTTCCTTACGCCTTTGAAGTTGTGTCTTAGTTCAAAGTAGTCAGTATTCTTTTATTTTTCATATAATTATGAGTGGTTTCATGTCAATAGCTGCTTTTTTTTTTTTTTTTTTTTTAAAAAAAAAAAAAAAAAAAGTGAAAACAACCTAGATGGAGCTGTTATAAATCCAAGAAAAACTCCATTGTTCATTGCTATCAGCCACAATTTGGGCAGATATCCCCAGCTCTGCTGAAAGCTGCTTAGGAAGCTTCTTAAGCAACCATCCACAGTTGTATTGTTTTAAAACTAGGGCTGAATGTGAACCACCAACTATTCTATTCTTTAAAGGCCTGGAAAAACAAGACTGTTAATGAGAGAGAAATTACAAAAGAAGGAGCAAAATGTGCATCTGGGCAATTAATAATGAAGATTTGTACTAAGTGAGTAGTCAAAGAGCCCTGGGTAAAAAGGAAAGGTTTTGTCTGAGTCCAGGTCTATGCAATAAGCAAACTTTTTCCACAGAACCACTGAGTACATTGGCTACCAACTAGACCAGACAGCCCACGCAGGCTGTCTGGACCCCTGACTTCAGTGACTCTGTTGGGATTGACTGGTACTAAAATGGGGTTGACTGGCCCTGGTATGGGATTTTCATGCCACATCGTCTAGTGATTATTCCATTAACAAAACACATTCCAGTAAATAATCTTCAGAAACTGAAAGTATTACATGAATTAAGAGCAAGGGAGATAAATAGGTTTGACAGTATTCTCTTTTCCAGGGCACTGGATGTGTGAAAATGCCCAGCTGATCTTTGAAATACATCTTTTCAATGACATATCTGAGGTATAGATAATATCTGGTAAAAAAAATTATAAAGCATCTGCCACCAAAACAAGAAAAATTTACTTTCTCCAATTTAAAAGTATCCACCAACAAAGCTGTCCTGTTCCCTTGACAACCTCAGTCTCTCATCTACTGGTGATGAACTTTCTTCATCTCCCCAATTAACATATTGGCTCCTGTGCCTACAGGGCTGTCATCTCCTGCCAGCTGAGTGGCAAAAATCTGGTGTCATTAGCACAGTTCTAATGGATGTATTCAAGCTAATAACAAAAGGTGACCTACTAGGCAAGTAGCAGAATGTATGTAGACTTGGAGGACTGTGGTGGTCTGAGCTGCAGCTAAAGCCTAGGTTTGAGTGGAAAAATACCATTTGTGAAGCTGAATATTAAAATGAGACAAAACCACAAAAGACAGAAATCCAAAGCAAAAGACAGAAAGAACATTACAGCAAGTGTGTCAGGGTAAAATGAAATCTTTGCAGTGGACTAATAGATAGGTAGGAAAGGAGGAAACAACAGAAAATAATGCTACACAAAATGTTGAAAAGAAAAAGCCCAAAAAATAATTGGGAGGAAGCTGGAAGGATTGCAGGAGAAAGGAGTCTTCTTATGCTTTCCTTTTTAATGTTACATTCTTCATGTAATGATGTGTTACTGTGTGATTCAAAAACGACCATGTGTCTTATTGGCTTTTTCATTTCAAAACCAAAGAGAGAAAGTCTGAAAAATGTAACCCTGCCTATGAGGTTGCAGCAGCTCTGTGATGGGCATGAAAAAGATCGCTGAGTTGAGAGTAAATTTCTCGTTATGTCCTGCTGTGCCCAATAGCTTTCCACCAACCTTCCATCAGTATTGACAGTGGGCAACAACCCTTCAAATTTCTCATCTCCTACCTGTGGTGAGGTAACTTCTTCAGAGGATTTGAAAGCTAGCCCAGAAAATGAGAAGCAGCCTGAGTCCTGGGTTAGCTTTTCATTCGAACCTTGTGTGATCACCCTGGCAGAGGTGAGTACAGGTTATAAAATCCATCTCGTAAGGGGATTTTTGAACACAGCAGCATTTCCAACTCAAGAGACAAATCGGTGTCTAAATGAAAAGTTCTTTCATTTTCAAAGGTCCCAAACAAAGACAAGGCAATGAAACATTATACCCCTGACAACCAGGCCAGTGGCATTTAGCTTGTTAAAGGGATAATGTCCACTTGTTTAAGTCACATTCAATTTGTCTAACTTTAGCAAAGAACTAACTGTGGTTTTGATATGAATATTTTACAAGAGAAAATAAACCAAAATGTTCAATATTGTTTTGCCATGGCTTTTTCAAAACAGAAAAGAATTTGTCGTGGGATCAAGTGGGCATATAATGTTAATGATTTGCATAATAAGGGTGACTTGGAGGAATTTGAAAGGGAAACAATGACTATACCTGAAGTTCTTTCAAATGTCCTAGGAAAGCAATTGTAACAGAAAGAACACATCCCTCTCATTTTTATTTCCCATCAGTAATAGGAACTTTTGGATTAAATGTGACTGTTAGACTAGGTCACATGCTAGCTAGACACTGTTATTTCACACAGCAAATGTATCATATATCATGCAAAAGTGAAAATTAGTTGAAAAATTGATAATGCCAGCTTTTTTTTTTTTTTTTTTTTTTAATTATACATAGAAAAAGTTACCTATGAGTTTGTTAAGGAATTATCAGCAGATGCAGACAAAGTGAGCAAGAGAGTTTTCTGTTATGGCAGATGCTTCACTGATCTTAAACTGCAATTTGTTATTGGAGATGAGTA